TATATATATATATATATATATATATATATATATATATATATATATATATATATCACTGAAGAGGGTTCATGGATGAACTGAAACGTTTGATTATTTATTTATATATTCTTTGTAAAATAAATTATTATTTCCTAACATAAGGAAGGTTTTACCAATTTTGGTACATAGCACTACAACTACTGTGTTTGAACTCATATTAGCTTTTTTCCTATCATTAATTAAATGTTGTATTTTATCGAAACTAATATAAACGTAATTTGTTTCATCAGTTAAGTCATGAAAAATTCATACTTGGTATATTTCTCGTTCTTTTATATGTTAAATTAGCAAATATCGAGTTTTAGAAATTCGTTTTATTTCTATGATTTTCATTGACGAATTATGTAGACTAAACAGCGATAATCATCTTTTTGTTCAATATTAAGTTCTTCTACATGCATTTGGCTTCTGTAAAAATATTTTTTGAATATTTTTATCTTCATCACTTTTTTACTGTATAACTTGAAAAATTTTATGAGAATGTGTCTTAAAATGACATACCTACAGTATGCGATACGTGCGATACTCTGTGACTAACATAACCTGATTCTAACCTCTCATTGTGACGTGACATTTGTTTATTTTAAAGTTTGTTTTAAATTTTGTTTAGTTTAAAAATATAACATATAAAATATGTGAGAAATGCCAAAGATATGTTTTTATTTAATTATATTTCCTTTTTGTAACATTATATTTTAAATAAATGAATATTATTATTCAACCATTAAATGCATTAATAAACTATTTATTATCAAATATTATCATATATGCAACATGTTATATAATTTCCAATAGGTATGTCGCTTTTGGCACCCATTTTCTTTGAACTCCATTTTCGTGCGTTTTACAAAAACATTTTTTATTTTAAATCTAGAAATAATTTCAGTAAAAATATGATATTATCTGATAGGGGACTTCCAACTACACACACACACACACACACACACACACATATATATATATATATATATATATATATATATATATATATATATATATATATATATATATATA